CGTGAACATTCTTCCTGAAGTATTATACTTCTAACCTGTGTGGGCATTTGCTTTCTATGAGTACAGAATTTATATTAGATTATCTCTGAATAAAGATGTTTGGTGAAATATTCAGACACTTGTTTTTTTCGAGACAGCCTATTTAGCAAACTGTAGAACAGAGTATGTGGTGAGTACCAGGGCTTGACTGCTCCTGCAGGCAGTAAGGTGTTTATCCAGTGACACTGTGCTATCACCCACTTTGTATTATGGAGACATCAAAGATGATAAATAGTGGTCACTCATCAGCCACTGGAACACCAACCACTGCTTTGGCTTTATGGGGATTTCCCCAGTCTGCTCTGGGAAGATGTCACAGTGGTAACCCTTCAATCGGCAGGTAAACCTGGCAACAATGCACTAGTTACATATTGGAGAAACAAAGTTTAAAACACAATGAATTAACTTGCTTTCAAATGCCTCCTTTGAAAAATAGAAAACATAACTGTCAATGAGACAAGAAAAACCTATGTATATTTTATACTCAGTAAACTTCTATTGACCCCTACTAATGATAAAATGTACAGGTGAGAAATCAAAGGTGATCCACCAAAGTACTGGAAACCAGTTCCAAATCAGAATACTCATTCATGTAATCTATTAGAGGGTTTTCTTTCTGAAAACAAATATCACTGACTAATGACTAACAAATTGCCACAATCACAACCTGGGTGAAAAATAGACACTTCAGTGAGACTGACCGGACAGCATTACTAATAAATCAAAGAAGTGAATGATTCCAAGGGTATCTACAGAGATCACTGTATAAATTCATCTATGACTAACTTGGATCTTAGGTAGCACAAAGTAGATCACATTCTTGAACTAACCCACAAGTCTTAGGTATATCAAAGTGCTATTTCCAGTTACTTCCTGGTTTCAGTGTGACATAGACTGTGTATTTCTGAAATGTTCAAGCTAAGTCTGAATGATGTTCTGTGAAGGAAAATATGTCTTCCTAGTGGCTTGAGCAATGCTCAGCAAAACACCGACAAAAGTTCTATAGAATCTTGATCATGACTATGTAGACATCTCTGTGCTCCACCATCCCAATGGGATACAGATGTTTTGCAAGGATGTGTCAAATGTTCTTTTGATATATACGATATCTGGGGTGAATAAACACACACCAGCCTAAAAATAAGGGCAGGTTACCTTGCAAATGATAAGAAGCTTCAGGTCTGATTAGATCTAATAATGAAGTTGTCTTTTTCTTTTTTAATCAAAAGAAAGACATTCTTTTGGTCTTATCCACTTACCTCTGAATAATTCTTACAAAAGGTTATAAAACAATTAAACTCAGAGTGGAGTGATGAAAACAAAACCAAATGTTACAAGATAAATGGTCATAAGAGACTTATTAAATGTATACATAACCCTTTTTCTCTCCAAGCATTTATGTGAGTGTTCTGCCAAGTCCTGCAGCTATAGAAAGACTGTAATAATATGTGGAGAGTCGAACAGAAACACTTTTCTGCAAAACTTCTATCGTTAATCATCCCAAATCTTACAGAAGCTGGACTGTGGAAACTGCACCAGACCACATCTTAAGTTTCTCACTGGACTGAAGATGTTCTCATAACCATGAGGAACATGGCTATTGCCCCACAAATGATGAAGGAGTCATTCAGGTGTTTGAAAACCACAAAGAATTCATGAAACTGATTTGAACAAGCAGAAATTCCTACTTCTCCCCCATAGGAATTGAGAGTGAGATCAATGCTGAAAATTAGACATTTCATAGAAAAAAGCAGTACAACTCTAGAACTGCTGTAGAATGGTAAAGTCACTACCTCTGTTAACAAGGGTTCTGCACCCAATTTCAGTGTGTGTGAGTGTGTTGGGGTGGGGATTTTCTCACATAACATCAAGTGCTTCTCCAACACCAGCTGACTGTCCTACTCTTCAACTCAATTCTAACACTACCTACCCGAAGGCAGCATCATATTCTGCAGTCCTATAAAACAACCCTTCACCACAGACACCAATCACAAGCCCAAGTCCTCATCTGTAATTCTGAAAAACTGGCTGCAAATAAGATGTTCCCAAGACCCTTCCTTGGGTTCCATTAATTTTCTAGAGCAGCTCACAGAACTCAGGAAACCTGTCTTACTGACTAGTTTGCTGGTTTACTATGAAAGGATATAACTCAGGAACAGCCATATGGAGGAGATGCATAGGTTAAGGTTTGGGAAAGGGTGTGGACCTTCCATCTGTCACCCTCCCCAAATCTCCATGTGTTCCTCAAACCCCATCCTTTAGGGTTTTCATGGAGGCTTTATTACATAGGCATGATTGGCTAAACCATTGACCATTGGTGATGGATGCAAACTCCAGCCCCTCTCTTCCCCTCTGAAAATCAGGGGGTGGAAAGGAAAGTTCCAACTTCTCTTCTTGGTTGGCTCCTCTGGCAACCAGCACTCATTCCTAGATGGTTTCTGAAAGTCAACTCATTCACATAAACCCAGTTATGGTGGGAAGAGGCTTGATATGAATTAGAAGATACCCATTTCACCTTTATGAAAGCAATTTCAGGAACCTAGGACAAGAGACCAAATTTAATAACAAAAGATGGTTCTATTGCTCTCATCACTCAGAAAATTCCAAGGATTTTAGGAGCTTTGTGCCAGAAACTGTGATGAAGATTAAATATATATCTCTAATTTTATTTTATTTTATATACTCACCCAAGGATATTTTTCTATTTATCTTCAGATAGAGTGGGAGGGAGGGAGAGAAACATCGATGTGAGAGGGACACATCAACTGGTTGCCTCCCACATGACCCCGACCAGGGCTGGGGACAAACTGCAACCAAGGTACGTGCCCTTGACTGGAATCGAACCTGAGACTCACTGGTCTGCAGGCTGATGCTCTAACCGCTGAGCCAAACCAGCCAGGGTTATATCTCATTTTAAATCTGAATGTCACACTCAGCAATACCGTAGAAGGCACAGCACAAAATGTGAGAAGTCCCAAGCCTTGTGGACATTATACACCACGCCAAGCCCTCAATACCTGCTATCAAACGACAAAGCACCACAGTCATTTGTTATTGTGTCTCAACCAAACAAATGACCTTTTTGACTCCACAGCTGGAGGTTGGGAGGAAGAAGAAGAGTGGTTATTCTAATCCTCATTACTATTTTCATTTATAAAAGAATGCTTTTTGTTCTCCTAGGACAGAGAACAGTAATAAATGTGCATTGCAAGTAAAACATGCTTATAGTTTATTTAGAATGGCTATGTGCCAGGCACTTCACTCGTCACTTTTAAATAACGAATTTAACTCACATTCTGAGCCTGAGTGGTAGGTTTTGTTACCCCCACTTTGCACCCGAATGAAAGCATGCTTCCATGGTTCAGTGGTTTCCCTGAACCCATCTAGCAGATGAGCAGCAGATTTGAAATCCCAACCTGTCTGACTCTAGAGCCTCAGTTTTAAGCCCAGGTTTTAAATCTCCATACTTCTCCTCCTGAAATCAAATGAAAGCAATACAGAAGTGATCTTATTTGCCACTGTTAATAAATTGCACTTATGTTACCACAAATGAAACATTATTTGGTCAAACTAGAAGCCACTACTTGTTTTAAGTATTTTGTCAAAAAGGGCTAGGCTAATACAATCTGCTGTTGCTCACTGTTAATTAACCACCTGGCTTCAGAGGTGACGGGTTACATCACCTGGTAAGATGTACATTTGTCTAATTACAGCAATAATAATAAAAAGGAAGGACTGGGGGAGAGAAGGAGGAAATAAAAAAGGGGGAAGGAAATGGGGAAGTGAAGAAGAAAAAAGAGAGGAAGGTGGGAGAGAGAGAGAAGGCTTCGAGAAGCACGAAGGGAGACAAGGAGATGCATTGCTGAATGTCAAGCCTGTGTGGATGTTAATATCCATTCTGATTCCACTCTGAATTTCATTCTGCTCTACGGATTATTTCATCCCATAAGTCAGAGCGTTTCACTCCACATACCAAGAGCATTACAAATGGCACTTCTCAGGGCAGAGCTGATTAATAGACATACTCGACGTTCTTCCCAGAAACTGAATTTTTTGTAAGTGTAGGATAAAGCTTTTAAATGTCACTTTTCTCATTTCCATGTGACTTACATATTTTCTAAGTTACATTTTATTTCAAATAACCGTTGCTCTAAAAGCTTGGCAATAGAGGAAACACACCATTGTTAATAGTTTTGTAAATGTGACTACCTATATTTAAAAATGTTTTACTTTTAGAAACGTTAGTGTTATGGTTAGAACTGATTTCAATATAATGCTATATAAATGAAAACATGTAGCTTAGTATTTTTTTTCAGAGTGGAAACCCTGAAACATTGACATCATAGAATTTGTTAATAATAAATAAAAGCATGCTACACCTCAACCTCCCAAACAGCAAATAAAACTTGTTTTGTACTGATAAGGTAAATGCTATCCAGAAAATTTCTGTATTCTTTAAAAAAAATTTTTTTTTCTTTATTGATTTTAGAGAGAGAGGAAGGGAGAGAGAGAGAAACATCGATGAGAGAGAACATCGACTGGACGCCCCCTGCGTGCTCCCCACGGGGGATTTGGGCCACAACCTGGGCATGTGTCCTGGCTGGGAACTGAATTGGTGAACTGGTGACCTCTTGGTGCATGGGTTGATGCTCAACCACTGAGCCACACCAGTCAGGACAATTTCTGTATTCTACGTCTTGATAAATTAAAAACATCAGAGTAGTCTCCAGGTTCACTTTATTGCGTTTAGGCAGAATTAGAATAGTGCCCTTTTGTCCGTGGAGTATGAAGCTCCATATAAAGCAAGGCAGCTTACTCTGCAGTACTGTGGCACTTGAATTACATATAAATATTTAAGGATAGAAAGAACTGTTTCTCCCTGTCAGGAAAAGCTGTTAGAGAGGTGATGTTGCATTGAGCAGCTATCACTTAGAAAATACTTGTGTTTGTTTGCATCTTACCGCGGTCGTTCTGGCAGACGGCCTTCAGGATGCGATGTCCCAGGCCACACTTTCCGTGATCGGGGATACAGATCCCTTCAGAGGTCAGCCATCGGTAACACATCGGATCGTCACAGGGAACGGATTCGACCAAATGAGGGCAGTGTCCTGCAGGTCCCATGGATTCCATGAGGACCTGGCGCTGTCTCATTCTGAATCCTTAAAAGAGAAAGAACAAGAGTTGCACAGGGTCCCATACCTAACCAACAAAGGAGACACGCAGCAGCTGGTAAAGAAATGCCACTTTCATTGAATGCCTGTAGCTCTAAAATACGGATGATTTTTATGTGTTTTCTCTTATGGGAAATGGGAAAGATAAGAAGATGAAAGGGAAGAAGTGAATGGGAAAGAATTAGAACAAGAAGTCTGTCTTCCAAAGATGACGGCCTAGAAGCTGGAGAGGTCAGATGTAATCAAAAGAAAGAGTAAGTAGCATGTGGCCAATGGTATCAGTAAACAAGTAAAAATGAATGGACACTTAAAGAAATAGCCTAAGTATGATAAATCCACACTTTCTTTCTGCTGTAGTTCTGGAGACTCTTGTTACTCTGTGTTAAGTTAAACTATATCTACGCGTTGGCATATCCCCAATGCCTGAGCATTTACAGCTTTGTGCCCTGAGACTTTCAGGTCAGCCTGCCCTGAGAGCACAGCACCTCTTTGGACCTGCACTTCATCCTGGCTAAACGTGGGTCACTGGGCTATTACTCAGTGAAAAGAAAGTTCTATGAAATTAGGGCACACATTCCCACCACGATAAAGGTATAAAGCAGACTTGAATGCTGCAAGCCCACGGTCACAAGCTCATCTCACAGAAGTCAAGCAGGTACAGATTGAGGGAATGGGAAACCGGAAGACTGTAGGGAGTGGTGGGGTCTGTGGCGATGGAGGGGGTGTCTGGCTCTGAAATGGTTGGCTCGTCTTCAGGTCCACTGACTGTTACCATGAGGAAATAGGGACTCTCTTTTAAAAAACTTTTCTGAGTTTGTCTGAGAGGCCAAAAATCCAAGTTATATTTTGTTTTTATATGCAGTCTCTCTATTTTTAAATGATAGAAACTAATAAATAATTTTTTAAAACTAAGTGAGCTAAAGAAAAGTGACCGGGAACTAGATAAATCCCTTTAAAGTGACCGGGAACTAGATAAATCCCTTTAAGTTGAGTTTTACGTCTGTGGGCCTCATGATGTATCATTTCTAAAGGCTCTGCCTACCCTCCATGGATCTCACATTTTATTTTCCATTCTTTAGCATACTAAATTCCATCAACTGATTCAATTCTTTTAACTTGTGTTTTTTTTTTTAAATAAAACTAATCTTATTGCATGGTAACATTTTAAGAAATTATTATTCATTTATGCCTTGGGGTAAGTGAAAAAAAAAAAAAGAGTCTTTGATAGGAAGATAGCATGAAAACATTGAATTTCCAGAATGCGAGTTAGATACCCCATCACCCTTTCAACAAGAGGACAAGTTAGGAAGCCTGAAGGTAACAGCCAGGTGTTAGGAAGTCTGAGGGTAACAGCCAGGTGTAGCTCTCCCACAGCTGTTCCAGGGCCATGCCCATTATTCCACTAGCAGTAATGAAATGAAAAGGTTACAAAGCTCAAGGTGCAGGTGGCAAAAGACAGGCTCCTCTTAGCAGGGCCAAGGGGGAGACCACACTGACGTGGTTTTAGGCCACAAGAGGGAGCCAAGCTTCCTTATAATGGCACAGGGCTGGACAAGTATTAAGCAGTCCTAACAACTGCATTTGGGTTTGCTTGGTCTAGGATTAACCCATGACCTCCCTTTAAAAGAGACTCTTAGACTCGTACTTTAAGGACCAGCCACTTCTGGGAAGGCATCATTCCATTCGGCCAATCAGAGATTGCATTCTCACGGCATTGAAAATATTACTGTCAGGTGTGATCAAGACAACACATGGCTTCTGCCTGCTTCATCCCTCCAAGTCCATATTATCTATTAGTCAAAATAAAACCCAGGGAAGGGCTAGGCTTCCTTCCTGGGCCACCTGGGGTAGAGATGCATGAAACACACAGGGTTCTACACTTAAACATCAAACTACAATGACCTCAGCTCTCACTGCCATGCACTTTGGATGACCTCTATTCTCACATGCAATGCCTAGGTGCCACTTATTTATCATCTATGTTTGTGCATGTTCAATTTATATCTTTGAGTAGAACACAGCAGGGGTCTCCGTGATTTACGCGGCTTGACAACCGGCTTAGAAATTGAGTAATCTTGACTGAGGGACTCTGGGTGTCCTATACCTTCATGTCACTGAGGGGCATGTGCAGTTTTCCCTATGAATCAAGTTGCATCCATCCTGCCATAAATCTATAGATTGCAGCTCCTCCGTCAATAAATTCTTTGAGTCTTTCATTTGTGCTGCCCTTGTCCTGACTCTAACTAGGATCGAATCAGAGTACAAGCTCAGCATAAAACAAAAACCTTGATTCCCTTGTTAGCACTTGACTTTAATCACACGTCAGTGTTCATGCCTGCCATAGACATCAGCCTTCACCCCGCTGCTGCTGTTCTGAACCGACCCAACTGCCAAGCCCATGGTGGCTGGGCCAGCCAACCGCTTACCTTCATTTACGGCATTTCATATTAATCAGATAGCATCATTCCGTAAACATTAACTGCTGTATGTAGATCACTGTAATGTACTGTGGGAAGCCACAGGAGGAACAGAAACATAAATCTAACCTTCATAGAGAACGTAGTCCAACAAGGGGGAAGGCGCATGCATCAATTAAGCATCTACCTCATATCAAGACTGTGACAGCCACTTTACTTATATTACCCCAAATTAATAAATCATCAGAACTATTGCATCACTGACTAGGCTCATTTTACATATTTAAAAACTAAAGCTGGGGGATATTTTATTGCTTCTCCAAAGGCTCATTACTCATGAAATGGATACGTGTGAAATGCAGCGGAGGTCTTTCTGAGTCATTACCTCCTGACAAGAAAGGATTCGAGTCAGCTCTTGTGTATGAGGAGCCCCGGTCCCACTTCATCCAGCGGAGCTGACAGGTACCACGGGTCACCTCCTTAAACTCAAGGTGTGCAGTTTAGAGAGGGGAATCTCAGCCACTGGATAGCGAGCAAGAGTTGTAATCATCACTTCCTGACCACAGATTCAGTTCTCCTTTAGTGACGCTGATGTTCGCAGGGTTGGCATTTTTCTATGAACCTAAGGATTTAGTGTATAGTCAACTAGTTGAGTTATATTTTACTGGAGGTAATTAGAAAATGAGCGAATTGTGGATTAAGGAGAGAAAAGAGAAGGACAAATAGCAGAAGGGTCAATATTTTTTAACTGAAGCCAGGAACAAATTACAGTGATACCTCGGTTCTCGAACATAATTCGTTCCAGGAGGACGGTCAAGAACCGAATTGTTCGAGAACCGAAGCAATGAACCCCAATAGGAAAGCGTGACTCCACAAAGCGTGACTCTCTCTCTGCACTCACACTGATGCCGCAAGCAAGGCGCGCTGGGCCGAATGAACGCCATTCGGCTCAACTCGGCTCATCTCGGAAGTTCGAGTTCCAAATATTTGTTCGGATTCCGAGACAAAAGTTTCTCGAATCTCCTGGTCGAATACCGATTTGGTCGAAAACCGAGGCGTTCGAGAACCGAGGTATCACTGTAAAGAGGCTCGGGTGGGTGTATCCAGGACTGAGGACTGTATTTCTTCACGGGCTGCTAACCTGAAAGTGTTCACATAAGCTTCGACAAAGCCACCCATGGCCAGTGCTGTGTCTACACTAACTCCACTGGGACAGGCTTGAAGCCAGGTCCAGCAGGATGACCAAAGGTGACAGTTCATTCCATTTTCAGCTTTCCATTTGTCTTCTCTCTGTCAGTCTTGGACATGCTGACAACTCTGAGTCAAAGAAGTTGAGCAGATTAAATCTTTCATTCCGACTCCAGAAATGAAACCACTGTCCACGCAGAGGTAGCAATTTATAGCATCATTATTAATTTACACCCTGTTGTGAATACTGAAAAGAAGAAGACGCGTTCATAGAGTGATCGTGAACATGAGAATTCAATTCTTAGAATGAAAACAGGCAGGGAAAAGACAGTCTCTTACTGTATGTATTATCTGTGACAAAGCAAAGTGATTTTATATGCTTCTCATTAAAGGGAGATTTCTCCAGCAGATGAGGGTAGAAAATGGAAATTTTTCCCATTATTATTATATAAGATCTAAAACATATATTTCCCTACTTTAATGTATTATCTAAATCGATTTGTATCACAGCATAAAAGACTGTCTCTGTAAAGACAGTCATGGATTCTCCGGTTCAAAGTGCCTTTTCCTACGGAGACTTGTAGGGCTTTAGTTGCTGTGATGGCGGGGGATGGGGGGGACAGTTCTGCATGGGAAGATGACATTCCTGGCATCCTCTTCTGCGAGCAGGGTGGCCTTTTGAAAATATGTCTAAAAGGAGCAAAAATGTATGTCTATATATCATTTTAAAAAATGCATTGCACCTATATGTAGCATTCATCCATCAGCAATTTTTCAGGTTATTTCTCTTTCATGTAGCTCTAATTATAACTCTCTGGGCATGCATCAAAAAGAAAGCAATGAATGATAAAACCTGACCCAATTTAAGTCCCTCTGAAAGGTGTTCTAGCCTCACTTGACAAGTACCAACCTGCCGAGCACTGTTCCTGTCTGCCTGTCCCAGGCTGACGTGGGTGCGAAGGCTGTGTACAACTTCCTAACGTGCCGTGGAGCTGACAGGCACACACCTCACTCCTGACCAAGGGCGTCTGCCTACAAGGAACAGCCACAGGAAGACAGCTCCTGTAGTCGCTGTTAGTGAAACATTTGCTGCTTTCTTATCCTTTCCTACCCTTTCTTCAAAATAATTTTCCTTTATTGATTTGAGAGAGAGAGGAAGTGATAGGGAGAGAGAGAGAGAAACATCGATGAGAGAGAACATCAACTAGCCTCCTCCTGCATGTTCCCCACTGGGGATCGGGCCCACAACCTGGGCACATGCCCTGACCGGGAATTGAACTGGTGACCTCTTGGTGCGTGGGTCAATGCTCAACCACTGAGCCACACCAGCCAGGCTCTACTCTTTTGTTTTTAAGTAAACAAAAGGAACATACTAAAGTTATA